AACGAGCTCTAATAACTTCTTGAATCCAAAACTCTCCTTTTTACCACGAAAACTCAACTTACCAACAAAATTTACGCTGTTTCTTTACACCGATAAGGTGACCTGTGATACTAATAAGGCGACCCGAAACAAAACAAAGAAATTAACTTTCAGTTTTGCAGCCGTGAAGTTCTGTAACTCTGTGCTTCGTGCGACACCAGCCTTCCCCACTCAAACTTTTTTCAGGCTGCGAATCAATACATTTTTGAATTGAAAAATCCTTTTGCTTTTCCACCAAAAGACTGCGCTTTGCTGCATTTCGATTTTCTTTCACGTTAAGATGAAATAACCACTTTTAGCAAACTCAGAAGGGATGGGTTTCTAAAATTCCTTTTCAAAATCCGTTTGAAGCGGGAAATCAACTTAATGCAGGCGTGCTCAGCCAATCTGCATCAAGCCCTCGTGATTAAGAAAAAAAATGCCCTCTCTCTCAGCCAATCAGCATTCGGCAATTTTGCCCCGTATGCGATAAGAATGATAATCATATCTAACGACTGATTCGGGTTTCTATTGCGTCGTTTATCATACTGTCTTCAGAATATCTGGTAGAAAGGAAATCTATTTTTAACCTAATACATGGTGACTCCCAACTAACACATCCAACGCGTATTATGAACTTACAAAGATACTTTTATTGCCTATAACTCTGGTTATGCCCGTTTTCTATGGTTCCCATTCAAAATATATGTATATAAAAAATAATTAAAGTCACCTATCACATTATGTATTCCAGTCAAAAGACCCTATGTTATATCGCGGCACTTCAATATATGAGAGATCATATTTTGAAATGCGAGAAAGATTTTAAAGGCGTGGAAATTATGACAGTTGTAAGCACAACTTAAGCAATTGTGAAAATAAAGATCTAGCATGTATTTTCTTTCCAGGTTTTATTTTCACATCTGGTTAAGTTGTGTATATAACAACGATGATTTCCCATGCGTTTTTGAATATATATATATATTTTTGACGATAATTGTAATCGATGCCGAATTCAATGTGAGCGACTCATAAAATTTTATAGTTCTTTTAGCCTTCATAAAATTGATTAAAAACAAGTCTTTTTATGATTTATAATGACAGCCAGCATTACACTAAATTGGAACTTTCGAGTTTGACTGACATTGCGTGAACATTTGCAATCAAACTACCATTTTGCATCTACTTCGAGAAAATTAACAGGAACAAAATGACACGACATAAAAAACAAATTAAAATATGCCCCGTTTTTTTGATGACATCTAACTTAGCCGCAATTCAAAAACACATGAAAACCAAAATTAGTAGCTCTGACTATTCTGATTCGCTTTGTATGCAGAAAATCTTTTTCGCTGTCTTCACAGCTGCCCCTCGAAGCTCCCTTAAACGCCAGCAGAACAAGAATGGGTTGATAGAAGAATTCGTAAACACCAAAGTTGTGGCAAAGTTCCACTCAGTTGGCCAGGGTTTCTGTGAGAGTCCATGAAGAGTCAACAGAATGTACATTGGAAGATAGCACATGACTAAAATTATGTAAAATATGAAAGTGTTAAGCGCACTTTGCTTCATTCGCACATAATGTAGGTCGTCTTCAGAAGTGGAACATTGCATCGCTTCCTGCTGAGTGTGAATCTGTAACCGATGCCGACGAACAATGCGATAAATTCCCATGTAAGAAAAGGTGGAAACTATAAGACAAATTCCCGTAATGACTGCTATTGCAAAGTGATAGATAAAGTGGTTCGAAAAGTAAACAGCCGATGAAAGAAAGTTGATGCACCATACCAGAGCTATCACAAATTTAACACGAGATATAGTCACCAAACTAGAATATCGCAGGTGATAGTGAAGAGCCATGAAACGGTCCACACTTATAGCCGTAATGATCAGCAGTGAGACTCCGCAAAAGGAATAGGCTAACGTATCCCATAGAATGTCCAAAAGACGGTTTTCAGTGAGTTCCTTTATAATATAAAACGGTTGAGTAATGAGTCCCACGAGAAAGTCTGCAACAGCGAGATTGCAGAGCATAATCATGGAGGGTGAGCGAAATGAAGGAGTAGTTAAAATGGCGGTCAATACCAAAGCGTTGCCCAGAATGGCTGTGAGAATCAACGAAACATTGAGAAAACAGTTGATGATGACCATAGCCCCATTGTTAGCGAGATCTTCTGTATTTGAATTGTTATCGCTTTCAAATGGTCCGGAGTGGTTCATTTCTCCCCTGTCGAATCCTTAGCTTCGTCGAACCAGAGCAAGAAAGGAGAGCTTCTTTTACTTGACCGCAGGGGGGCACACCGAGACATCTTATAACCAAATTTCACAAAGTGAACAGAATAAAATTTATTTTTTTTAGAGCAGCTGATTTCCAAAGTGTTTGCAATTAGTATCTGTCCAAAACGTGACAATTTTTGCACGCCAGGATAAATTTAGGAGTGACACAAAAGGCTACTTAAAACGAACCTTCAGATAATGGTGAGTGTTTTAGAATATAGAGGCGATTTCTTCTACAAAGGACTTAAAATGTGGAGTTAAATTTATTGGGTTTTTAGTCTTCCATCCGTGCGAATACAGGTGTACTTGTCAGTCAGGTAAAAATTAATTAAACTGGCAATCGACTGTTTTAAAACAGGATCGTGATAATTTACATAACACTTACAATATTGTACTGAAGAGGAAATAAAGGTCTTTTCCTTTTTCTTAATTTTCTCTTGTTTCTGGATTTTTGTTGTTTTTTTTTTCTGACTTTCATGCTGTAATTTCACTCCAGAATTTGAAAATCAACTTGACGATTGTAACAATTGTTTTACTGGAGAAAACGAAGCTTTAGTTCAAACGTGACACAGACAATTAATGTAGGCGTTTTAACACAGAGCAGACATTCAGTCGTTAATAGCTGTTAATGGATTTTCTTGCTAAGATAAATATGGCAATCCACAATGGTCCATTTTAAAGATTTTTTTTTGTTAAATTTCTGAAAACAAGTAAATTATAATTTCGCCAAAGAGCTGTTTACCTACACAATGGAGTGTGACATTGGTGGCGAATAAACGTTTTAAGTGGCTCTTCTACTTAAAAAGTTGAAAGTTAAAATATATAGGCGCACTCCTTCTTTCGACGCCATATCAATTAAATTGATTTTGAATTGAAGGCTAGGGCTTTGTAAAGTTCTGTATTTCTAGCTTGGTAAATTTCAAAACAATGAGAACTTAAATTCTTAAAAGTTCAAAAATTAACACGCTCCTCTAAGAGCTTTCAGAAAATACATATGTAATTGGCAATCATATGTAATTTAACCGGAGCTTCTGATTTAAACATAAACAAAATTAGTTCATGCGCTTAGACATGCACGCCTAGTTCAAAATTCTTCCTTGTTTTACTGTTAATTAGGATGTATTTCCTGAAACTGTTAGCAGAAGTTATTCGGATGAGTTTAGAATTATTTTAAGAAAACATCAGATATATTTTTCACTTAATATTTCCAGCCTTTGTGTCATTTGCTGTTGATTGACATTTTCTACAGATATCTAATTCTTTAGTGTGTTTAAGCACCAAGCACGCAAAGCACACAGTATTTTTTTAAGTTTAATGTCTCGTGCTTACGCACATGGTATACTCGGACTTTCTCAGCGTCTTTCTATTTGTTTTTGCTGTCGTTTTTTTCCATACAGCAAGTGGAGAATATTTACTGACATATAAAATAAAGAGTTTCTTTACCTAACTCATTTGCCTCATTACCCTAAAAAGAACTTAAATATATCAAATTTATTTTTCTGACAAAATGACTCTCTCTTCCGTAAAAATTCAATGCAAAATTTATTCAGTAATTTGCTCAGAAATTGAGAAAATGTTGGTTGACGTCAAATACATGTATGAAGGTACGTTAGGAAGAGTAAAGAGTGGAAGGAGAGACAAACACAAGCTCTGCTTAATTCTTACCAACATTTATATCTACTGCTAATAAACAAACGTCCAGAATTGAATGAATTTTGCGTATTTGACTCTTGTTTTATCGCTTAAGTTTCGTTTCTTATTGGAAACGGTAATTTTAAAAATGTTTCATAGGGATTCAGTTGTTACGTAACCAAAGTTTCTATGTTTTGAATATTTTTAAACTATTTCTCGTACTAATAGAACAATTACTCAATTACATGATAGGAAGTTGACATGAAAATAATAGGCCACATTCGTATTCTTGGTAGCTAGTGGACTGGAAGTAGCTTGCAATGCAGGCTCAAGTGAGGGAATATCATCTAAAAGAGATAAAAGATGGAATCTACCAGAAGTTCGAGTAACAAGTGGACAAAAACCTAATACCACGATTATTTACATTGTATTGCAAACTTCTGTGCGACTGTTTCAAATATCTTCTCAAAGAAAATCATTTCTAGCAACACCAAACGTCGAAAATGAACGTTGAACTTCATATGAAACCCTTGAAAGTACTGGTGAAATGAAACTGATGACGAAATTTTGCCTGTGTTTGCACAAGTTCTCTGAACTTTGAAATTTATATTCTCTCGTTCCCATGGGAAATTGTTTTCGGTGTTATTTCAGGCAATTATTTACGTATTTAGCTTTAAGAAAACGTAAAAGTGACTGCGAAATACTTAAAATTATATTGATACCAGATTTTTGTCCACTAAAACCTTAAATTGCTCGATTTTCTATCGGATTTCGTCTTAATGTTATTTGCATTTGAAAGGACTCCTCACATTAGCCTCAATAGTAATTAAGCTAGTTCCCATCCAATACCGAGGATATGAATATTGTCCATTGCAGAGCGTTTTTTCTCACGATGCTACTACAGCAGCCATGCAAATTTAATGAAATGGAATAAAGCGTATACATAGGAAAATATTTCAATTGCCAAAAAAATTGGTTTGGTACACAAACATGGCCGACGTTTTATATGATTTGGTAAGCCGTGACGTCATGTAAAAACGCTCACTGTTTTATTTATACAACAAAACACCACTTATAAATGCAAAATACTAAAAATTAAAGGACAATTGGATTTCTATCATTACTTACAATATTGTAATTTACGATACTTACAAATGCTAATATGATTATTAATAGTACGCTGCCTTTTATAGCACAAACAAAATAATTTACAAGCACACCGCTTACGTTAATTCTAACAATAACGTACACCAACAACAGCGCTAAAAACTATAACGTTAATTACAGAATTCCCTTACATGGCTAAAGCTTAAAGGATACACTACACAGAAAAAGTACAGTACAAAAATTTGAGAAAAAAGAACCACTGCATCTTAGCTTTCATTATTTGAACATAAAAGAACGTGAAAAAGCTCTATTACAGTAGTGTAAGTATTATTCAAAATTCAAATAAATGGAGCATGAAAAGAGAGAAATGATCGAGCTCGTGCAAGTAAAACACAGAAATATCTTTACTGTCTGGTACTAGTGTCTTTTTGAAATCACTGGCGTGCGTATTTTCTGATGACTGGTAAACTTGAACTTTGATTGGTCAACAGATTGTACGCGCCCAAGACATACAAAGAATTGGATAACTTCTTTTCCAACAGATGTCTGACTTAGCGATGAGAAAACAAACTAAGTCCATCGATTCGAAAAAAATTTCAAGAAAACACAAAATGGACAACAACATAGAATAACAACGATGTGTCATACTAAAGTGTTCATTGCACAGCTGCTCTATGCATCTTAACTTAGGCTTGTGAGGGAAGTGATCTTTTATGCATTTTGGGTGTTGTCGTTCATAGCCTTATAGACGAGAAGGCCTGGGATCCTTTTACGGGCTGGAAAATGGCAAAGGGTGGGAAAAACTTTCATTTAGGTATTTAAAAAGGCCTTTTAAAACACCTAGCACAGGTATGTGTCAGTATAGGTGGTGCAAAAAGCGTAATTTGGGCTTGAAATTAACGATTTGGGTGTTATTTTAGTGTAGAAATATCCTGGGTAGATCGACCCTTTTCGCATAGAAAGATTTCTGTGGGACGTTTTTAGAGTCGATAAAAGCATATTTTAGGTATGTTCAAGGAATATGGAAGGTTAGCTTTTCTGTTAAAAATGATATGTAACACGGAAAGTGTATGGACCTCGGAACAGAGCCTCCCCGTATAAAACTTTGTTGAATACCCCTCGCCCGGGCGAGGAGTAGCAGAGAGGAAGTACAGTTATGTACGAGTTCACTCTCAACAGATCAAATTCGTACTCTCGGTATTGGACTGGAACTAGCTTCTAGTAGAGGCTCGTGAAGGGGAATATCATTAAAAAGGGATAAATGATATTTGCATTTGAAGACTCCTCGCGTCAGCCTCAGCGGTCCAATACCGAGAATGCAAATGTGGTCCATTGCANGCGGCACTTCAATATATGAGAGATCATATTTTGAAATGCGAGAAAGATTTTAAAGGCGTGGAAATTATGACAGTTGTAAGCACAACTTAAGCAATTGTGAAAATAAAGATCTAGCATGTATTTTCTTTCCAGGTTTTATTTTCACATCTGGTTAAGTTGTGTATATAACAACGATGATTTCCCATGCGTTTTTGAATATATATATATATTTTTGACGATAATTGTAATCGATGCCGAATTCAATGTGAGCGACTCATAAAATTTTATAGTTCTTTTAGCCTTCATAAAATTGATTAAAAACAAGTCTTTTTATGATTTATAATGACAGCCAGCATTACACTAAATTGGAACTTTCGAGTTTGACTGACATTGCGTGAACATTTGCAATCAAACTACCATTTTGCATCTACTTCGAGAAAATTAACAGGAACAAAATGACACGACATAAAAAACAAATTAAAATATGCCCCGTTTTTTTGATGACATCTAACTTAGCCGCAATTCAAAAACACATGAAAACCAAAATTAGTAGCTCTGACTATTCTGATTCGCTTTGTATGCAGAAAATCTTTTTCGCTGTCTTCACAGCTGCCCCTCGAAGCTCCCTTAAACGCCAGCAGAACAAGAATGGGTTGATAGAAGAATTCGTAAACACCAAAGTTGTGGCAAAGTTCCACTCAGTTGGCCAGGGTTTCTGTGAGAGTCCATGAAGAGTCAACAGAATGTACATTGGAAGATAGCACATGACTAAAATTATGTAAAATATGAAAGTGTTAAGCGCACTTTGCTTCATTCGCACATAATGTAGGTCGTCTTCAGAAGTGGAACATTGCATCGCTTCCTGCTGAGTGTGAATCTGTAACCGATGCCGACGAACAATGCGATAAATTCCCATGTAAGAAAAGGTGGAAACTATAAGACAAATTCCCGTAATGACTGCTATTGCAAAGTGATAGATAAAGTGGTTCGAAAAGTAAACAGCCGATGAAAGAAAGTTGATGCACCATACCAGAGCTATCACAAATTTAACACGAGATATAGTCACCAAACTAGAATATCGCAGGTGATAGTGAAGAGCCATGAAACGGTCCACACTTATAGCCGTAATGATCAGCAGTGAGACTCCGCAAAAGGAATAGGCTAACGTATCCCATAGAATGTCCAAAAGACGGTTTTCAGTGAGTTCCTTTATAATATAAAACGGTTGAGTAATGAGTCCCACGAGAAAGTCTGCAACAGCGAGATTGCAGAGCATAATCATGGAGGGTGAGCGAAATGAAGGAGTAGTTAAAATGGCGGTCAATACCAAAGCGTTGCCCAGAATGGCTGTGAGAATCAACGAAACATTGAGAAAACAGTTGATGATGACCATAGCCCCATTGTTAGCGAGATCTTCTGTATTTGAATTGTTATCGCTTTCAAATGGTCCGGAGTGGTTCATTTCTCCCCTGTCGAATCCTTAGCTTCGTCGAACCAGAGCAAGAAAGGAGAGCTTCTTTTACTTGACCGCAGGGGGGCACACCGAGACATCTTATAACCAAATTTCACAAAGTGAACAGAATAAAATTTATTTTTTTTAGAGCAGCTGATTTCCAAAGTGTTTGCAATTAGTATCTGTCCAAAACGTGACAATTTTTGCACGCCAGGATAAATTTAGGAGTGACACAAAAGGCTACTTAAAACGAACCTTCAGATAATGGTGAGTGTTTTAGAATATAGAGGCGATTTCTTCTACAAAGGACTTAAAATGTGGAGTTAAATTTATTGGGTTTTTAGTCTTCCATCCGTGCGAATACAGGTGTACTTGTCAGTCAGGTAAAAATTAATTAAACTGGCAATCGACTGTTTTAAAACAGGATCGTGATAATTTACATAACACTTACAATATTGTACTGAAGAGGAAATAAAGGTCTTTTCCTTTTTCTTAATTTTCTCTTGTTTCTGGATTTTTGTTGTTTTTTTTTTCTGACTTTCATGCTGTAATTTCACTCCAGAATTTGAAAATCAACTTGACGATTGTAACAATTGTTTTACTGGAGAAAACGAAGCTTTAGTTCAAACGTGACACAGACAATTAATGTAGGCGTTTTAACACAGAGCAGACATTCAGTCGTTAATAGCTGTTAATGGATTTTCTTGCTAAGATAAATATGGCAATCCACAATGGTCCATTTTAAAGATTTTTTTTTGTTAAATTTCTGAAAACAAGTAAATTATAATTTCGCCAAAGAGCTGTTTACCTACACAATGGAGTGTGACATTGGTGGCGAATAAACGTTTTAAGTGGCTCTTCTACTTAAAAAGTTGAAAGTTAAAATATATAGGCGCACTCCTTCTTTCGACGCCATATCAATTAAATTGATTTTGAATTGAAGGCTAGGGCTTTGTAAAGTTCTGTATTTCTAGCTTGGTAAATTTCAAAACAATGAGAACTTAAATTCTTAAAAGTTCAAAAATTAACACGCTCCCCTAAGAGCTTTCAGAAAATACATATGTAATTGGCAATCATATGTAATTTAACCGGAGCTTCTGATTTAAACATAAACAGAATTAGTTCATGCGCTTAGACATGCACGCCTAGTTCAAAATTCTTCCTTGTTTTACTGTTAATTAGGATGTATTTCCTGAAACTGTTAGCAGAAGTTATTCGGATGAGTTTAGAATTATTTTAAGAAAACATCAGATATATTTTTCACTTAATATTTCCAGCCTTTGTGTCATTTGCTGTTGATTGACATTTTCTACAGATATCTAATTCTTTAGTGTGTTTAAGCACCAAGCACGCAAAGCACACAGTATTTTTTTAAGTTTAATGTCTCGTGCTTACGCACATGGTATACTCGGACTTTCTCAGCGTCTTTCTATTTGTTTTTGCTGTCGTTTTTTTCCATACAGCAAGTGGAGAATATTTACTGACATATAAAATAAAGAGTTTCTTTACCTAACTCATTTGCCTCATTACCCTAAAAAGAACTTAAATATATCAAATTTATTTTTCTGACAAAATGACTCTCTATTCCGTAAAAATTCAATGCAAAATTTATTCAGTAATTTGCTCAGAAATTGAGAAAATGTTGGTTGACGTCAAATACATGTATGAAGGTACGTTAGGAAGAGTAAAGAGTGGAAGGAGAGACAAACACAAGCTCTGCTTAATTCTTACCAACATTTATATCTACTGCTAATAAACAAACGTCCAGAATTGAATGAATTTTGCGTATTTGACTCTTGTTTTATCGCTTAAGTTTCGTTTCTTATTGGAAACGGTAATTTTAAAAATGTTTCATAGGGATTCAGTTGTTACGTAACCAAAGTTTCTATGTTTTGAATATTTTTAAACTATTTCTCGTACTAATAGAACAATTACTCAATTACATGATAGGAAGTTGACATGAAAATAATAGGCCACATTCGTATTCTTGGTAGCTAGTGGACTGGAAGTAGCTTGCAATGCAGGCTCAAGTGAGGGAATATCATCTAAAAGAGATAAAAGATGGAATCTACCAGAAGTTCGAGTAACAAGTGGACAAAAACCTAATACCACGATTATTTACATTGTATTGCAAACTTCTGTGCGACTGTTTCAAATATCTTCTCAAAGAAAATCATTTCTAGCAACACCAAACGTCGAAAATGAACGTTGAACTTCATATGAAACCCTTGAAAGTACTGGTGAAATGAAACTGATGACGAAATTTTGCCTGTGTTTGCACAAGTTCTCTGAACTTTGAAATTTATATTCTCTCGTTCCCATGGGAAATTGTTTTCGGTGTTATTTCAGGCAATTATTTACGTATTTAGCTTTAAGAAAACGTAAAAGTGACTGCGAAATACTTAAAATTATATTGATACCAGATTTTTGTCCACTAAAACCTTAAATTGCTCGATTTTCTATCGGATTTCGTCTTAATGTTATTTGCATTTGAAAGGACTCCTCACATTAGCCTCAATAGTAATTAAGCTAGTTCCCATCCAATACCGAGGATATGAATATTGTCCATTGCAGAGCGTTTTTTCTCACGATGCTACTACAGCAGCCATGCAAATTTAATGAAATGGAATAAAGCGTATACATAGGAAAATATTTCAATTGCCAAAAAATTGGTTTGGTACACAAACATGGCCGACGTTTTATATGATTTGGTAAGCCGTGACGTCATGTAAAAACGCTCACTGTTTTATTTATACAACAAAACACCACTTATAAATGCAAAATACTAAAAATTAAAGGACAATTGGATTTCTATCATTACTTACAATATTGTAATTTACGATACTTACAAATGCTAATATGATTATTAATAGTACGCTGCCTTTTATAGCACAAACAAAATAATTTACAAGCACACCGCTTACGTTAATTCTAACAATAACGTACACCAACAACAGCGCTAAAAACTATAACGTTAATTACAGAATTCCCTTACATGGCTAAAGCTTAAAGGATACACTACACAGAAAAAGTACAGTACAAAAATTTGAGAAAAAAGAACCACTGCATCTTAGCTTTCATTATTTGAACATAAAAGAACGTGAAAAAGCTCTATTACAGTAGTGTAAGTATTATTCAAAATTCAAATAAATGGAGCATGAAAAGAGAGAAATGATCGAGCTCGTGCAAGTAAAACACAGAAATATCTTTACTGTCTGGTACTAGTGTCTTTTTGAAATCACTGGCGTGCGTATTTTCTGATGACTGGTAAACTTGAACTTTGATTGGTCAACAGATTGTACGCGCCCAAGACATACAAAGAATTGGATAACTTCTTTTCCAACAGATGTCTGACTTAGCGATGAGAAAACAAACTAAGTCCATCGATTCGAAAAAAATTTCAAGAAAACACAAAATGGACAACAACATAGAATAACAACGATGTGTCATACTAAAGTGTTCATTGCACAGCTGCTCTATGCATCTTAACTTAGGCTTGTGAGGGAAGTGATCTTTTATGCATTTTGGGTGTTGTCGTTCATAGCCTTATAGACGAGAAGGCCTGGGATCCTTTTACGGGCTGGAAAATGGCAAAGGGTGGGAAAAACTTTCATTTAGGTATTTAAAAAGGCCTTTTAAAACACCTAGCACAGGTATGTGTCAGTATAGGTGGTGCAAAAAGCGTAATTTGGGCTTGAAATTAACGATTTGGGTGTTATTTTAGTGTAGAAATATCCTGGGTAGATCGACCCTTTTCGCATAGAAAGATTTCTGTGGGACGTTTTTAGAGTCGATAAAAGCATATTTTAGGTATGTTCAAGGAATATGGAAGGTTAGCTTTTCTGTTAAAAATGATATGTAACACGGAAAGTGTATGGACCTCGGAACAGAGCCTCCCCGTATAAAACTTTGTTGAATACCCCTCGCCCGGGCGAGGAGTAGCAGAGAGGAAGTACAGTTATGTACGAGTTCACTCTCAACAGATCAAATTCGTACTCTCGGTATTGGACTGGAACTAGCTTCTAGTAGAGGCTCGTGAAGGGGAATATCATTAAAAAGGGATAAATGATATTTGCATTTGAAGACTCCTCGCGTCAGCCTCAGCGGTCCAATACCGAGAATGCAAATGTGGTCCATTGCAGCTTACACGGTTCGAGCCCAAACTTATCCATTATCCATTTCTTCACTGATTTCCAGGAAGAGTCGCAATTAGTTAGTTTCCTTGAGTATTTCTACATAACGCCTGCCTTGCCATTTGATCAACCGTCTTTCGAAGTTCTCCAAGACGCCAGCAATACAAAATTGGATTGATAGATGAGTTCATAAACACCACAGTATCTGCAAAGTTCCAGACGTTTGTCCAGTTCTTGTTTGAAACTGTATACAGGCACAACGAAACAAGCTTTGGAAGATAAAACAAAATTATAAAAATATAAAATATGAAAGTGTTAAAGGCACTTCTCTTCAATCGCCCAATATTTGCAGTATTTGGGATGTGTAATGCCACCTGTTGAAGGTGAATCTGGGACTGATGCTGTCGAACTATCCCAAATATCCGGATATAGGGAAACGAGGATGTGAGAAGACAAATGCCAATTCCAACAAATGAAACGATAAAATAGTTAACCCTATTCCAGAAGTAAAGACCCAGAGCCAGGGAAGAGGTAAGCCATATTATCACCACCGTGTAAAAGACTCGAAGTGTGGTTACCATGGTATTGTATCTCAAGTGGAAATACAGAGCAATATATCGGTCCACGCTGATGGCTGCCATGGTAGAAAGAGAAACTCCACACGAAACAAACCCTGCAACTTCACAGATACGAAACACAGAGAAGCTATCCGTCAGTTCTTTGGCGATATAAAGTGGTTGTACGACGCGCCCAACAAGAAGGTCCGACACAGCCAAACCGCAGATTAGAATAAACGATGGTGAGCGGAGCGAAGGAGTTCTAAAGATGGCAGCTATCACTAAAGCGTTACCGATAGTACAAAGGACCATCAATGGAATGTTAAGAACGGAGTTTATGATAACAATAATTCCACGACTAGTTTGATCGGTGTCGTTCTTTGCCGAGTTCGTAAGATTCATATTTTTCTGCAAAATGGTATTTAAACATAGTCCTTTCAACCTGACCAACGTACTTGCGTGTATTTTAAGACGTGCAAAAAGGGAAAAAGCCAACAAATTAGCTGTTAGTCAACAAACCCAGGGGAACAAAAGTGCACGCAGAAATTATCCAATATAGGCACGATGATAACTGCACTTATAAACCGATAGCAAAGTGGATGTTATGTAAACAAACAGGAGAGAGCTAATTAACTGTTCTTCTAAATGATGACAAAAAATACGTTAACCTAATGGCATGATATTAAAAATACTGTCTCCCTTTTGTTGGTTAGTGACTTGAAATTTTATATTGATTTAAGTTTGACAGATAAGTATGGGGGGAAACTGTCCGAACTGGAAAAAAAACAAACAAACAAACTAATACAATGCAAATGTATTTTTTTCAGTGTCCGGACCCCTAAGATGTCGGACGCAATTCATACTGAATTTTATTAATTTCATTAATTATATTGTTATTTTCACTGTGACTTGATTGACGTATGTCAAGTCTGAAAAGAAGTTGCCGGTCCAACAGCCAATGTATTATTTGCAAGCGATGTGCTCTGCTGTGAACTGTCGATTTCAACTACTTAACTTCCTGCGTTGAATCTATCCTCTCATGGAATGGAATTTAAAAAGCCGACACTACATGAAAGTGATTATAATTTCGGTTCTGTATACAAAAACTACTTGGGTTCATAAACGAAACAACAAGTTACCCAATTTTCTTCAACTTCATAATTGTTCAAGTGAATACATGAAAAATCATATATTTGAATATTTGAATTTCCCAGTTTGCTTTATAGCTCAGTTGGTAGAGCATTGCAACGGTCTGGGTTCGAGTCCAATTCAGCCTGATTTTTTTTTCAGGCTTTAATTTCACAGCTGCTTACGTTGTGTGTATAACTGTGATGATTAATCATGTCTTCATTATTAATTATTCACCACAAACATTTCCAATCTATGCTCTGTTTGGAAGAATTTAAACTCTTAACGTCTACTTCTAGTATTTTCCCTCAGTCTATGCGGGTTTTAAATATTTTCATATACTGCAAACCTTGAAAATGGTGATCACTGCCTTTATTTACTAAGTTTGAACTGCGTAATACATGAAAATCACTTAGTGATTCGGCGTTTTCTGAGGTGTTCATAACTACTAGTGTTAAGACGCGCGGAAGCATTGTCTTTGTGCAAGAAAGGAAGTTGTCAAGTTGAGCTTTTATATTCTTAAAGTCGGTATCTTTTCAAGCTTAGCTAATTTTGACAGGAGCTTTGGATATACCCGTGTCTTCAATTTAATAACAATAGGATCGTGATCGGTTGCTAAAAGCTACAGGAAATTATCGCACGTTAATGCGTTGTTCGTTGAGCAATATTAGAACCATATGTACTCAACGCCACAGAATTACCAATTCTAATCAGGGTAAGGTTGCTGAGGAAACTATTACTACCTGTTGCCGAAAATATTTTCATCGCCATAAAAGGAAAATGGAAGATATTACCAATGGAAATATCGCCAGCAAATATTTATTCATACAACTGTGAGATATTTACTGAAGGAGGGCCCTACTCAGATCAGTCATAACATCTTTACTACCTCAGTCTGCTCCGAAAACATTCGTAATTTACATTTTTTGGGGGGGCCCAGTGTCGCCATTTTGTATCAAAAGAGGTTGAAGGTAGTCATAATGAATTACAGCAACAAAGAGAAAGAAGAATTCCACATCCAAGATAACAGTTCACGTGAAGCCTTTGTCATCATGAACTTTATTTTGAACGCCCCACTCATGCTCATATCCATTCTGGGCAACGCTTTGGTATTGGCCGCCATACTCAGGACCTCTGCCATTCGCTCCACTACCATAATTATGCTTTGCAGTCTCGCTGTCTCAGACCTTCTCGTTGGCCTTGTCGCTCAACCGTGTTATCTCGCAGATTTACTTACGACAGGAAATCTTACAGCGAGTCTGTCGGTAATGGTCGGGTTCTCTGTGTGTGGAGTAACTCTTTGGACCACAACGGCCATCAGTGTGGATCGATTTTTGGCTCTTCACTATCACATGAGATATCCTGTGCTAGTGACGAAATCCCGCGTCAAACACACCGTACTGGCCATATGGTTAATCAACGTTCCCTTGTCAGGGCTTTATCTTTGGAAAGAGCGAGAATATAAACTTACCTTGGGCATTATAACAGTGATATGTCTTACAGTTTCCACATTTTCTTACATTCTAATTTATCGAGTTGTTCGTCGACATAAGCTACAGATGTATACTCAACAGCAAGTAGTGCAAAGTGAGGCCATGACAACCGCTGCAGGAAATAGAAGGGTACACTTCTTACGAATGAAAAAAAGTGCCATGAACACGTTCGTATTTTACATCTTTTTGATTTTATGTTATCTTCCGATGTACATTTTATTAACTCTTCATGGACTCTCCTACATCGACTGGACAATACAGTGGAGTTTTATTCCCATTCTTGTATTTATGAACTCAGCCATTAATCCTTTTTTGTACTGCTGGCGTCTCCGAGAGCTTCGAGCGGCAGTTGGAAGGACCGCAAGGCAGATGACATGTAAACAAGCAGACGAAAGTTAACTAAAAACGGTGTCATTCTCAATAAGAAAACGCGTTAATAATAATAATAACAATCATATTAATATAATATGGTTAGGCGTAGTTCCAAAATAAAAAAAAACATATTAAACCAAATAATCCTTGAATCTGAATTTTGACCACCCAGTCTAATTATTTTCACTATTGAGGCGATGCTACATTAGCTATATTAAAAAACAATTAATAATTGATTGATGCCGTCGCGAGCATCCTCCAGCTAAGATGTTTCAAGTTTGGAAGGCGCGAAATAAGCCGAAGAGTTTCGTCGAGGCGCAGCTGAGAGAAAAACTTTCTTATGATGGTGATCTTCTTTTTTGCTCAGTTTTATTTGGTTCAACAGGAAAATCGATATTTTGCTATAGTGAACAATGTATGTCAATGGCAAATGCATTTTACTCCAGAAACTAGTTTCATCACATACACAGGCAATTACTAAAGACCTCAGGCTAATGTCCATTCTTGGTTAAATAAGAACGTCTTAGTGTTGTAGGTATACATGTGTTAAGTGGCCATGAATTGAATTCTTGAATGATTATTTCACACCTTGCCGCTGAATTTATTAATTATCCAGCCACTTGACACTGTACTGTTGACTCAGGCAACGCTCTCGTCAATTCATATCTGAATATTAAATATAAAACGTTTGGCGGTCATTTTGATGTTCCCAAGCAATATGAGGTTTTTGCATAAGAAAAGAACTCAGGAGAGAAATTATATTACTTGCGACCTGACCAATATGGTCGCAGTGATGTCATTTGATGGTTATATATATTTCTTTTGAATATTTGATGGGCTCTTTATTTACCAAATACGAGATGTTGTGCCATAATGCACGTTCGAGGTCTAGCTTGTACACGCACTAGCGAAGCGTGAGTGCATTCAGCATTTTTCCTCAAAAGTACCTGTGTTTTTTTTTTTTTTTTTTTTAGAAAATATATAAAAAGCCGTTTTTTATTTGGGAGATAATATTATTTACTTAAATTTACATCTGAGAAGGGACGCTGACTGCGCTGGCAAAACAACATCCGGGATATTCTTCCCCTATAATTTCCAATCGAAAAACAAAAATGCACGCTCAACTCCAATAACGGGTACACAGCAATTGTTTACTACAGAATTTTGCTCAGAACAGACGAATAGTCTTTGCCACCGATATTTGCTAATCCTCATAAACGTCGTACGTCGCCGTCAGTGATGAGTCTCGGGGCATTCAAAGTCAGAGCCATCAATTATAAATATTACTCAAAGGACTGGATTCTTAGTAACATGTTCCAGGTTCCTGTGTTATAGGGAAAAATTAAGATACAAGAAACGGCAAAATTATTTAACTTTTCAGGAAATATTAACAGAGAGGTTGCGTGATTAGTCTGTCTCCAGCTTCAAATTTATCACATAGCAGTCCAAAATTCAGCTAAAAGATAACAGCGGGAGGCAGGAACAAAAATAATTAATATGAACAAACACCATACGAGACAAAACAATCACTTAATTGATGCTGGTTCCGAAATAATTTATATACTTATCGAAACTGTTTTTTTCTTATTTTCCGTATTATAGTTTCCGTTCTTAGCTTTTCGTCTGCTTGGTTTAAGTCCAAGATGTCTAATCGTTAAATATGCTCAGTTTTTGACACATGCTCGACAATAAATGCAATTGACATTATAGTGTCCACTCTCAATTATGTTAATCTTTAAAAATTACTAATCGACTAAGGAACCATATCGTTCGGCTGTGATTTCTTATGCCACTGTTCCGCTCCTTTGGGACACTTTGATCTCTCTCTTCAAATAGCACGTCAACAAATTTCGTCCTCCCAATAATTATAAATAAATTCTCAACATCTCGATGGTTTAAATAATAGGACTATTGAACGTATGTTTGTAAATGGATAAGCCAGGCTGGATAATTAGGAGAACACGTAAATATTCCATTTAAGCTTTTAGTACAGATGCCCTATAGGCATCATTTAATATTCCTTTTTGATTAGGAGAGTTTGATATTCATAAAAAATCGAATAAGCAATTTCGCCATGGACCACACAGAAACGAGTAGATTATTTACAGTTTAGTCTTTTCAGTAAAGGAGTTCACAACTTCAGAATGGGCCGGGCAAGGTTATGAGAAATGATTTCAAGATGGCTAACCACACTGTCCAGATGAACAACGAATCAGAGAGTGAAGATTTTTCCCGCCGTTATCGGCCCGAAACTGCCATCATCATTAATTGTATCCTTAACGCTCCACTGATGCTCATATCCATTCCGGGCAACGCTTTGGTATTGGCCGCCATAATAAGAACGCCTTCCATTCGCTCAACGCACATGATTATGCTCTGCAGTCTCGCTGTTTCAGATCTTCTCGTTGGATTTATTGCGGATCCACTTTTTATTGCAAGAGAACTTACAAGCCACCGAGTTTTAGTTAACCTTGTTGTGGTGATGGGCTATTCTGTTTGTGTAATCTCTCTCTGCACAATGACGGCTATAAGCTTGGATCGCTTTTTGGCACTCCACTATCACATGACATATGCTTCATTAGTGACTTCACTGAGGGTCAAATATACTCTTGGCATGATTTGGCTGACTAATTTCCTATTGTCGGGTTTCTACTTTATCAATGCGTCTGCATATTTCTTTGTCATTGCTAGCATGACTGTCATCTGTATTATAACATCATCATTTGCCTACATATGTATTTATCGCATTGTTCGTCGACACCAGTTACAGATTCACTCTCAACAGCAAGCAGTGGCAACTTCAAATGCTGAGAATAGTATAAACATGATTCGTCTGAAAAGAAGTGCAATGAACACTTTCGTATTTTACATATTTTTGATCATATGTTATTCTCCAATGTACATCATGTTAACTGTAAACTTATCAAAGAAGGCCATCTGGACAAAGGAATGGAATTTTTCCGTCACCTTGGTATTCATGAACTCGTCCATAAATCCATTTTTATTTTGCTGGCGTCTTCGAGAACTTCGCGTCATAGTTACAAAGACGATAAGAAAGATTATTGGCAGACAAACAGAAAATCACTAACTAGACTCATCCTCTTGGCCTTTTTTGAAGCATTACCTGAAAGAAAAACTGAGAATTTGACAAACAAGCGGCGCATCTCGTTCGTTTCCGTCTGGTGTACATACAACGCATGCGCCTTTAACGGGAAACTATTGGCGCCGATTTTCCTTCTCTTTTGTTCAAAGCTGTGCTAAAATTTTGATCAACTAGCCTCGGATAGCCGAAATCCTTATAGCAGACCGAGAAAAATATATTTAGTGAATTGACGTTAGCAGACCAAGTGGTAATTAGTTTCAAGGGTATCTCCGAGACTTTCAAGAGGCCAGTTCCTAGACCGATCTGGTTGTTTTTTCTTTAAACTAAATTTAAAAAAAGATCGTACTCAGAAAACCTCTTCAAATAAGTATTACCGATCGCAATACTGGTAGCAGTATTTTTTCCTTGGTATAAGTTTGAGATTAGACTATATAAACTGAAAAAGTCTGCGAGACGTTTTCAATTCGCCATGGCAACCTTATTCTTGCGTAACTCGTTATAATACCCTTCTATAGCTTCACTGCGATCATATAGTAATCTTCAACAAATCTAGACCATAGCTTTTAGGATTCTATTGATGAAGATGTCGTTTTTACTTTTTGAATTCATGCTCGTGATTCCCAGTATAAAAAACATTAAGTCCAAGAGCAAAAGGCATTCTCCTGGTTGTGTACACTGATTACGCAATCATTGTAAGAAATGCAAGTGAAGATAAGAGAAAGCATAAAATTGAAATGCGTAGAAAGATTTTCCAGATAGGGTAAGTCGTTACAGTTATAGATGCAACTTAAGCAGTTGTCAAAATGAAGCCTAAAAAAACAATCAGAAATAACAAAGACACCGAAAGGAAGAAGGAAGTCTTAAAAACAGATAAGACTGACTACTGCCCGGTAGACAATGAAGTCGAAGATTTGATATATCTCCGACTGATGGCTGCAAGAGATGGTTGAAGTACTCAGCTTTGCAAAGAAAATAATTTATTTATAAAGCTCATCTTCTTTAACCTTTTTAGCATACTAATATCTACATGCAACAAAACATTGTAACGGCCTCAAAACAGTTAATTAAAACTGTGCCCACTCCTTACACACCGCAGCTTAAATAAATGGAACAATCTTATATTTTCCAGAGCATGACAATTGTTTGAGGAACAGCCTGTACTGCGTGTCTCCTGTCGCCAACACAGTTGAACATATTCACATCACATCAGGAGGTTTTCATTCCAACATAATTACAGCAAGAAATTAAACCTGAGCTGCAAAACCTATGAAAAGGAGCAAAAGATGTTAACGTTCAGGTTTTCAGATTCTGAGATAATCTAACAAGTTGATTTTGTGGTAAATGTAAAATTCTCTGGGTAAGATTTGCGTTATACGCAATCCAGGGGGCGGAAAGGAAAGTTGACCGCTCATCGATTATTTTAGGCTGACGAAACTTTCTATGACACTAAATTAATTTTCTATAGTGTTTATGATAATGTTTTCTGTAATTAATGTGGGCAGTTTGAGCATTGACCTGCATCAAAAAATGTGTGATCTGAAATGAAGAGCCATCATTATGCGAAAATGGCCAAGACAACACATCGTTTACATAAGCTTGCTTCAAAGTAAACGTCAATCGTTCCGTTGTTTTCACTTCATTTGCAAAGGTTCAAAATAACGTTTAAGTTCAATGGTGTTGTCTTGCACCTGACGTTTCTGCAAATAAAATGCACTTCTAAAACAATAAATCATCACCCATCGTGCCACGTTCTTTAAAAATGAATAATTAATCAACCTCTCTGTTTGAATCTTGAAGCATATAAGGTCACAATTTTTTTTTTTATCATCGTAGTAGACACTACGTCAGGGTTTCTGTGTTAGGGACGGTATAGGTAAATACATTAGTGATACCCTGCTGCTTTACTGCCACATAATTATATTGGTTGTGATTTAAAACTCCTTGATTTTTATCAAGTTTCTCAGAAGGACTTCTTTAGAGGAAATTAAGCTTTATTCAAAATAAGCTTTACATTTTTTTTCCTGCTCAGCTTCTAACAAGTCAGTAATTCGTCTGGCAAGTTACGGAACACAGAACGTCCCCTGTACAACTCACCCCTCCCTCTGAGAGGTTTTGTTTCAACGCTCATTTACCTAGTGCTGCAATTTTGGTGCGCTTAGACGACCCATCGAACGATGTTGGATTTTCCTCTCTATTTCAGGTGTTCCTTGTGGGCGTCGATGTGTTTTTTCGCCTAAAGTCTTGATTTTCTATGGTTTGAAAATAAATTCCAATTGCTTTAGGCTAATTACATACCAATCAACTTCATCCAACGAGGGTGGATCAAAACAGTCCTTTGAAAAACACACCTACGAGTTACTATCTTGTCCTTAATGTTATCAGTCTTTTCTTATCTGGGACTGACTGGATGAATGCTATCAGCTTTTCACTAGTTTGAGAAAAATTTGTTCAGGGAACCTAGGGTAGTTTTTCCCGTTTTACGTTAAGGGCTGTTAGATGAAAACATTTCGTTTGGAAAAACGGATCCAGCCATAATATGCAAGGTTTGCCCCATATTTTTCTCAAAACTTCCCATGGTATGATCAAAAGAAAGTTGAAAGAATTTAGAATTGCTTAATTCTGATTTTGGATATGGTAATAAAAGTAACAATTTAGTTAGTAGCTTCCATGCACATGCAAATTAGTCTTTCAAAATTTATCGTCTTTGTTTCCTAATATCACAAAAAGCCAACAGGTTTTCGTTAAGCCTGGTTCACATTCGTGAGACAACCATAACACTAGTGAAATACCATAAGCATAAGCGCGAGAAAATGAAACATGTTCCCTTTTCTTTCCTTAAGCTTATGCTTCTTTCAATATTGTTACGCTTATCTCACAAGTATGAACCAGGCCTAAGTCTTTGTAAAACTGTTATCATCTTCAAACTCAGTCTTAATTACATAGTTATCGCTATCTTCATCATAACCAGACTTCCAGTATTAATTACATAGTTATCACGATCGCTATCTTTATCATAAGCAGACTTTTCGCCAAGTTGTCGGTGAAGCCAAGGTCCGGTCATTCAATTCTTGTCTTGTTATATTAACTGAATACAAAACAATCATACACTACGAAATCAATTGTAGGAGAATTAAACAAACTCTCCAAAGCATATTTAACAGTAAATATTTGAAGAAAAAAAAATGAATAAGCTACCTTTTCAAGGGAAATTATTGATTAGACTCTTCTTATACAACACAGGTGCTTTATTTAAAATGGAGAGTAAACTGCAGTTGCGTTCGCATTCTACTTGGATCGAATTTCATTTTAGCCACCAGTCACTAGATGATTCTAGATCATTTCATTTTCCAAGCGATTTTAGAATTCAAGAGTTAAAGTTTTATTCAACATCAACAGCTCAAATCATTTAGCATATTACGTCACTTTTAGTATAATTTCTGCTGGTTATTTCAAGAATTGAACATCTTAATTGGTTGAAAAGATTGGCATATGACGCTATACATTCATCGTGCTAGGTGGTGAATAAAACACTTCTAAGCTTGGTTACTAAGCTACACCACCTTTGCCATCTAGGAAAGTAAAAATAGCGAACAGTTGCTGACAACAAATTTTAAAAATGTCTTAATAATTTTTTGGTCAGACTGAGGCTACTCATTTCCAGACAACGAGTACAGCCTTGCATGAAGTTAACCATGCATGCTGAAACAAAAACACAAGACGAATTTCGTTTTCGAACTGTATATTTTGTCTATTTTACTACCTAAATCCATGAGTAATCGACTCACACTTGATGAATTATTACACTGAACAACTACGATCGCTCAAGGCGGCCGCATTTGTTTAGACGATCAAACAATGGCGTCTCTGTTTCTCATTTTCAGTCCGTCATTGTGTAGTTCTCGATATTTTTACCTTTGAAAATTATACTTAAACAATTATTCGCCTCTAGCTGAGTGCGGAACAACATTGGTGAAAATCTACCGAGACAGAATGTATTCTCCTCGACTTCATCCCGGTAAATATTCCCAAATGAATACTTTGCCTTCGTCGAGTAATTTTTGGTTACACGTGAAAAGTATATTTTAGCAATTTCTTCCTGCCGGAATGAGAACAAAGAATTATTAATCCATCCGAAGAAATTGAATATGCATATATATATATATATAACGCATGCGTAGGTGAGAGACATTTATTCTTGTCTTAAAATGCGGAAGGATAACAGTTGACTTTGATAAAGCTGAAGGATTAAGACTGAGTGTGAAGATGGGTAACTATACAGGCTTCATAAAGAACGCATCCTTAAAGGACTTCGTAGTCGATAAGGACGATAAATCACTTCCCGAAACTTTCGTCATCGTAAACTGTGCTCTTAACGTTCCACTGATGCTCATATGCATTCTGGGCAACGCTTTGGTATTGGCCGCCATAATAAGAACACCTTCCATTCGTTCACCGTCAATGATCATGCTCTGTAGTCTCGCTGTTTCGGACCTTCTTGTTGGTTTTATTGCTCAGCCACTTTTTATCGCGGATGAACTCATCAAGGAAAACCTCGTTCTATATCGTGTGTCGGCGATGATTGGATTTTCCGTGTGTGGTGTCTCCCTGGCTACAATAACACTGATCAGCATCGATCGTTTTCTGGCTGTTCAGTATCACATGAGATATGCTACTTTGGTGCGCCACTCTCGGGTAATTTCTATCATTGTCATGATATGGTTATTTACTTTGGTATGTTCGGGATTTCACATCTGGAATAAATTTCTACACCACCTTCTGTCGGGAATCTATATTGCTATTTGTCTTATAATTTCCACACTTTGTTACATCAGGATTTATCTCACGGTCCGCCACCACCGTTCACAAATCCAAGCTCAACAGCTGGCAGTGCAATGTCACTATGCTGCAAACAACACAAGAGTGATGCGATTGAAACGAAGCGCTGTCAACACTTTCGTATTTTACATCTTTATTGTTGCGTGTTATTTGCCAGCCTATGTTCTGTTGACGATATTTGGACTGGGATATATGGAATGGGCAACAGAATGGTCCATCACAACCACTGTGGTATTTATGAACTCATCCATCAATCCAATTTTGTACTGTTGGCGTCTTCGGAAACTTAGAGCTGCAGTTGTGAAGACAGTTAAATGTGTGCTACGTACTCACACAGATCAGGACTGAAAACGAAAGAAATGTTAGTGGTATACGTTTCGAACCTCAAAATCAAAACAAGAATTGATTGTCAAATTGGGTGTTGTTGGCCTTAGTGGAGAGAAGCGACTTTTGGCGAAGAATAGGGAGTTTCGAAAAAAAAGAATATCCAAATACTCGGAACCCACTGTATTTTATACCTGCTGAAATAAATAATGCTTACAGATCAAATTAAGTGTCATTCTTGTTCACAGTTTGTCACCCTGATCTATCTCGAACGGAGTAAATCGAGAGACATTAATCGAAGGCATCACTGTTCATACAGTAACTACCAATTTTGTTTTTTTAATCTTTAAAAAATGATACCCAGTATTAAAGAATATATATATATAAACGCTGTTTAATGTTTTTTTTTCTTTTAAAAAATGGTGCCCAATATAGTTACTGCGAGCAAGGAATCAAGATAAATAGCTGGAAATAGTTTATACATGGATTTAAAATGTGTGATTCACATTTTCATTGTTTTCCTAGGGAAGCCAGGCTCCCCAACTACCGTACANAAAAAAAAAAAAAAAAAAAACCTTGTGTTTATGACACATCAAATTCAGTCACGTGACGAGACAATTTCATTCGAAGGACTCTAGAGTACCTGTAACTTCTCCAGAAGACTGTTTGGTAGATAACTTACAAAAAAAGTACCGCAGACGATTGTCTTCCTGCATAATCAGCTTTATTTTTTATTATTATAAATTATTATATCTAAGTACAAGTTTACAAACAAGTTGGTTTTTCCAATGATTTAGAATGAAAGATACGTTTGCTTTCCCCACGAATTGCCGTGTAAGGATTTCTCTTTTGGGGTCGATGATTTTTACACGTTTCGTAACGTGACTATTTTTCCTTTTTTTTTTCGCGAACGTGCTTGTATATTTTATTAATCTGACTGTTAGATTTATTCAGTATGTCGAGCTGACATGGTCACAAAAAATCAACAAGAAGAATACAGTTCTTAAATTATTTTGCTCACGTAGGCGAATCCATTTCTTCGAAATAAATCGAGGGGTTTGAAAATATTCATGTCTACAGCTCATAGTACATCGGAACTATTAATTAACGGCTCAAAGTAATGTAGATAGTTTAATTTATCTTATTTCTGTTTCTAAATATATGAATTTTCATTACGTATTCAGAAAAAATGTGATAGGTTGAAGATTGTCGATCCCATCTGTTATCTCTCCTTTCTTCAAAAACTGCCTACTGTTCAAATATATGGGTAAATAGCTTTCACGGAATTAATTTTGGCATACCTGACAACACAAGCATTCATTACCAAACGAGTTTGATTCCTTAGCAAATGTGTACCATTCGGTGCAGAATATCGTGTAATGAATGCAGACGTTATTTTTTGCTATTATTTTAGTTTATAAGCCAAATTGAAGTTAAGATCCGAATATGGAGTTCGATGCTAAAGAAAAAGGTATACAGATTTTTCCACAAAGGTTAACCCGCTTAATGAGATTGCCGTAATAAGGAATTTAGGTAAACGTCGGAACGTTTGTAGATAATTTATCGAGGAAAACTAAGTTGTGCATGCACAATAATGCCAAAATATGATTATAAACAACCAGATCTATTTTTTTGAGCGTAGGAAATCGAAACTACTTACGAATTAAGATTGACGAGGTAAATACAAGGTATAGACGTCTGAACGAGTCAGTATAGCATGGGAATTGAGACTGCCTTCACTAACATTAACTGGTTAACAATTGCTGCTCTGCAGAATGATTTTCTTTCATTTGCAAATCCTTTGCCGATACAATCATTTGGTTGTTATTTACGTTTCACTGTTTGTGGCTTGGCTTCACACTATTATGTCGAATTTACTTTAGTAAAAAAATTTGACGTCCTGTTTATTCTGGTAAAAGTAAAATGCAAATGACTCTTCCAAAGTTTAAAATAACGCCAAGTCCACACTACGCCAGAGGAATTTGAAAAGGAGGTTTCACTCTTAAAACGCGTCAATTGTCTTCAGTCTACACTACGCTGAAGAAATTTAAACGCAACCATCACAGGACATTTTGTATTTGCTTTTGAGGAAAACTCGGTCAGGGGAAATCAAATGATAATCATGAAGCCATCGTTTCGGGGGAAAAAAAAATCCGTTTTCAATTTTTTTTTTCCGCCCACACTAAAACGCAAAGCCGGCGTTTTCAAACTCCTCCGGTTTGAAGAGCGTTTAGGAAGAGCTCCGTTTTCGAGACGGATTTGTGTGGGCAGTAGGCTTAGCCGTAGAAATAAAGCTGTGTTTTCGAATTTCTCCGGCTTAACGCGGACAGGGCCTAAGACAAACTATTCGAGAATGAACTAATTGGATATTCCGTTTGTAGCTAGGAGAACGTTCTAGCTAGTTTGCAATGGACCTCGTGCTAGCTCTTTTTAGGTAAAAACCAGCCTTTTTTCTTTTTTTGAGCGCGTTAAGTTAACGAACCCATCGATTCCACTAACCCTCGCCTGCGGCGGATTTTCGAATTTTCTCTCGTTATTTTTCTTAAATGTTCTATGTCTTTGACTTATCTGTGTGAGTGTTGAATAAATAACGATCAAATTTTGTGCTGCCCTATCATGAAATGCAATCAAAACTCAATGGCAAGTAAACACGTGTGATTCGTCTAAAGTCTTGACGCGTTCGTGTTACAAAATGCTAATATTTTCATTTTTATTTTGATACCTCTTCTTTGTTACTCTTGCAATGTTGCGCATCAGTCGAACACAGTCACGAACTCAATAGCGTCCTTAATTAGGTTCAAAAAGGTGATTTTTGTAAGTTACATTCATTTGATAGCCAACAGTTGAAATTTTTGCATTGAAAACTTCCATTAAAAAATAAATAAGTTGCCTCGTTTTCAAAGTGATTTGTTCAGCAAAAGGCTCTCCCAACGTTTGATGAGACAGCTAGAAAATACACCATTTTGGAATTGACTTTTATTGCCTTTGTGTAAAAACGATGTCTTTCTGAGAAAACATTTGTAAAAAACGTGGAGCGATCTCCATTCAACCAAAACTTTCGTAGCGTCCAAAACGCAGGCAAATGATATGGAAAATTTCCTTTGAAAATTTCTTGAAGATCCGAAAATTGTCAAGTTTCCGATATGCGAACCATTCAGCCGAAAATTCCGGAAATTTCGGGAGGAATATCCAGTGGAATAGAAATTCCAGTAAGGAAATTTTAGATAGTATGGGTATTTCTCGCGAGGTTGCTCTCTTTTCCAAAAAATTCTGCATGTATCCATTCGCCAGTTGATATCGCCGGAAATACAAACCACAGTTACAAAACACGTTGCCCTGGAGATGTCAAACGATTTATGTGCGTCATATGATAGTACAGAAATCTACAGAAGGGAAAATTCAGAAGCGAAAATCTGATATTATACAGTTCTCGCCTAAGATGGAAGTACTATTTTCATAAAAAAAACTTATACTTTAAGTCGCCGCTAACAGTGCTATTCAACTGCTCTATTGATCAAAGTAGATATCCGGCATCTTGGAAGATGGGACAGATTACACCACTATTCAAAAAGGACGATGAACTAAATAAAGCAAATTACAGGCCGGTTAATGTACTTCCTGCGCTAAATAATATATTTGAAAGACTCCTGGCAGCGCAACTTGGTGATTTCTATAGCTTGATTCTATCGGACCATATCAGCTCTTATAGGAAATTTCACAGCTGTGAAACTACCCTGCTACGCATGACGGAGGAATGGAGAAGGATGAGAGATCAAGGGGACACTGTGGCA